AAAACATTGCAAAATATGTTACAGCCTGCAGCCTTGCTTACAATTTGCCTGATCATATCTTTTTTCTACCGTTCAAAAAACTAAAAATTTGCAGTTAACGGGGAATCTAATGAATCATTCCCATTCCAATTTTGAGGGAGACTGTGAAGATTGTGCCCATTTAAAAGTGTTCATCCTGCCTGAGCCAGAGACCATGATACTCTCTGATGCAGTTGCTGAGAACATAACTCCTGGGTGTTCATGCCAGAGATGTCCTGTCTTGGGGGAGGTAGAAGCTGGGTGAGGAGCAAAAACTTGCTTAGTCCTAGGGCCATGATTCAAGTGATCATCATAAATAAAGTCTCTCTGAAACGTCATAATAACTAGCAAATAAAGAGCTGAACCCCCAGATTATGATCTAGTGTTATTTCTCAGGTTCATCTTTTATTAGTCAGTTAAGTATTTTTAAAACTTTTGTTAGAATATCCTGTAGCAGTACCTTTAATATTGCTTATCCCCAGTGAATGGCAAGTAAGAAGAGCAAACTGATGTATAAGTGCCACCAAGCCAGAGAGAAGATTTTCCAGTGACTAAACTTAGGTGGAACTTCCCATTAGGATGTTGAAATCAGAGGATAACCTCTGAGGATAAACCAGTTTCTACAATTTCCTAGGCTTGGTTTGCAAAAGGCCTGCATCTTAAGCGCAACAAGAAATTTTTGTCTCACACAGAGATCTGTTACATGTGCTTCTGTACACAGGAAATATACAGGCAAAGGAATTCATCATGAAACATGACATGCACTTTTCTAGGGAAAAAAAGAATAACTAAAGACTTTTGTAGTCCATTTGAACTGGTATTAAAAAAATACAATCAGAGATGGTGGCAGATCTCAGTGGTAGAGCACTTGTCTAGCATATATGAGGACCTGGGTTTTATCCCCAGCCTGATAAAAAAATAAAGAAGGAAAGAAAATAAAAGTATAGTAGTCAGTCTTGTATATCAGTTGATTCCAAGTCAATGAATTCAACTAATGAGGATCTATAATATTTGGGAAAAAATACTTATACTGAACATGTATGGAATTTTTCCATGTCACCAGTCCCTAAACAATGTAGTACAGCAGCTGTTTACTAAGCACTTATATTGTATTATGTACATATCTCCTTGGATATCAAGAGATGACTGTACCATGAACATAGTAACTTATAGCTAACAGTAACTTATAGCTTCCAGTTCTGGAGGCTGAGAAGTTCAAGAACGTGGGCTAGCAGATTCATTTTCTGGTGGGGCCTGCATTCTGGTTCATAGCTGGCAATTTTTCAGTGTCTCACATGGTGGAAGGAGTAGGGAGCTCTCTCAGGCCTCCGGATGAGTGCACTAATCCCATTTCTGAGGGCTCTGCCCTTGTGATCTAATCACCCACAAAGGCCCTGCCTTTGAAAGCACAAGCATTCAGACCATGGCACACACCAACAGCAGTTTCTGATTGAGAGCCTAGGAAAGCTCTCTCCAAACACGAATCCTCAGGCGCTTACCTGTATGGGATAATCCCTGAGATGTCTACAAATGGATTTATTTTGCAGCCCAACATTAAATGCTGCAACAAGCTGTGAAGGCTTCTTTCAGAAACAACCGCAGACAGAGATTGAAGGGGCTTCCTGCTCCCTCCTCCAGCCAGGCTCTGAGCAGGCTGAGTCCCTGCTTTGGTCTCTGAAGGAGGGTCACAGACACCAAGTCACCCAGGGGCCTCATTAAATAGAACACTGGGCTGAGGTCTGGAAAATTCAGTTCTACTTTTAATTCTGTCCCTTACCAGCTATTTCACTATAGCAAAGAAAGTTAAGCAATTAAGTCTTAGTTTTCTCTTTTGTAAAAGGGAAATGAGGGTTTAGTAGGAAGGAAACAGACAGGTATAGAGTGTCTGCAGTATAAAAACTTTACAAAGCCTATGAGTAATAACTACAAAAGAGTTGAATTTGCCTGATATTGCAGATGAGAAAATGGAGGTCCTGAGATACAATAACTTGACTGAATCGATGTGTGCTGGAAAAAAAATAGAAACAGAATTCCTAGTACAGGAGCTATAACCAGGACCGGGCTTTCTCCATTTGGAACACTGAAGAATCCAAGAATTCCAAATTTGGAGTTAGCTTCCAGAACACTGTGAAGGTATTTTGTTAAGGCAAACAGACGTCAAAGAATTAACAGTTTGTAAGAATGACCTAAAGATATGGACAAGAGTTTGAGCCTTGAGCCCCTCAGATGCTAGGAATAGTTCTGAATGTTCAAATGTATTTTTGTTGGAGGGAATTGTAATTATTAAGTACACATGTATAACACTCCCACACGCCTTACACTCTTGCAGGTTTGTAATGCCTCCAATCTCTTTCTCATATGTGACTTCACTTGATCCTCCTAATAGTTACACGCTATAGACAGGAAGAAGTTATTGCCCATGTTTTGCAGATAGGAGTTCGTAGTTGATGCCCGTGGGTCCCTTATCACTCCCCACACCCCATTTCTGATTTCAGCAGCAGTTGGGATGTGAACAGTTTTGTGAGATCTCAAACTCACCTCCATCAGCCCGTGTCCACCCTCAAGCACCTGCTGGCCTATGTCACTCCTCCTTGTATTCCAGGATCCTGTTTGATGATTCAGATCCCAACATGGCCTACAAGTATGGAAAGGCTGTACCTCCTGGTGTAACCCTCAAACAACAGAAGTCAGTGGGCAAATGTTGCTTGTCTTTTTATGGCAAATCTGAGAGGAATTCTCCAGAGAGATCTCAGTGCAATGAAGACCCAGTGAAGGCCTCACGACCTGGAACAATGACTTTAGTAACAAGCCCTTATCTGTCCTCTTTTGCTGTCTCTTTCTCCACATTCTATCATTTTTGCTTCCAAATTAACTATTTGCAACTACATTCTTGCTTCACTCTTTCTTCTGAAGGCACCACAAACAAAGAGGCTTTGAGGCTCAGGATGGAAAGTGACTTCCCCAGGGCCATGTGTCTTGGAGAGTGGAGGATCACAACACTTTCTCCAGGTTCTTCTGGTTCTGAAGCCAAAGACTCTTTGATCTACTCTCCCGTGTACAAGCAAGGTTAGGTAACTGCCATTTCTACCTTGTATCAATGTACCAAACATAGAGCAAGTTTTAAAAGAGATGTTTGAGTGAAAAATTAATACTAAGTGATAATTATCATCTTTATTGGGGTTACTCAGATGATTAAAACACTTTAGCATTTTTCTAAAATTTAATGGATTACAATTTGTTCTGTTGGTGTTGTCTAATTTACTTGTGTAACTAAATTATAAATGTTAGGTTTTGCTCCAAGTTTTATAGATGAAAAACTTTCAGTGTTGCATATTTAACTAGTATTGGAAACCAGATTAGAATCTTCCCTGTTCTAGGCATATTCTTGGCTTTGCTTGCCAAATGAGATCAAAAGCAGAATTGTGGATTGTCCTCAAGGAACAGTCCTGGTTTGGGCTTTGAAACGAACATCTTTCTTTCTTTCCTTCCTTACTGACTTTCTTTCTTTTACTAATTCCTAGTGTTATTTGCCCCAATTCCAGAAACTGCACCACAATTTCCTTTGAGGATTCAACCCTCTTGAATACTCAATCAATAAACTTTAGGTTTATGCCATATTTACAGTAAAATCAGTGTTTGGTCAATCTGTGGCTTCTTCCCATCCTGACCACAGTGGTTGGCTCAGAGAATGGAATGGGACCTAAGGCTGACAGATTAGAATGAACGTCAGGATTTTGCTGGTGTATGGATAAATAGCCACTTTCTTTTCAGTAGTGAACTAAACTAGTTTTGTGTGTCTGATGGCTTTCTTGCCACCTATTGGAAAAGCCTGCCCGAAAACAAATCAATAAAGCAGAGAGATGGACACAGACTGGTGAGGTGACCCAACTCTAGAGTCCCCTGATTTTATATCTGCCACTGGACTTTATAGTCAGGAGGAGCCAGTACATTACTGTTCCATCTTCTCCTTTCAAGTTTCTGCCACTTAAAATTCATCAAGTCCTGTCTGAAACATGCTCCATATTCAAGCATTCAAGAGACTTGGTATAACACTTCTCTGAAAAAAAAGAAAAAACAATGTCTGTTTTTCACCACCAAGAAATGGGCTAGGAGGTCAAGAAAAGGAAGCATAGCTAATCAGATTAGGGCAGGATCCTTCCTCCCAGCTTCAGAGAGCCCTAGGAATGAGGTGCTGCACCAGTCTCTTTATGAATCCATAAAGCAGCAAGCCTCCGGTGAGCTCCATCATCTTTAAGGCAAAGAATGCAAACTCCACACATGTTGTTTTCAGACCCATTGATCAGCCATTGCTTCAATTCAACATCAAACTGCAACCAGAGTTCAGAGGAAAGACCCTAGACTGTTAATTCTTCCTTCCTTTCTCCCTTTCTCTCTTCCTTCCATACAATTACATAGCTGCACTGAGAATGTTTTTACGACTAAAGAACTTTTAATTCTAACTTTTAATCACTCATCTTCCCTCTAACAAGCTGAATAAAAATAACTGCAGAAGTAGACTATAGGAAAAAAAAAGCTGAAATCAAACCAAGAAACTTGCCCCACGGCAATATGGGTGCAAAGGAAACCATGCATTGTATTTGTTTCTGAAGAGCTTTCCCCCTCCCCCGAGAAAAGTCATCATCAAATATTTACTTCAAAGATATGTTTCAAAACCAGAAGGGCTAGTTTCAAGCTTGAAATGCAGGCAGGCTAGTTGGTAATGGTGCCCCAAGAGTTTACAGAGCTCAGAACTGTGTCTGACTGAGGAAGGGAAATAGAGAAGAGATGGGTGAGTGGGGACAGGTTTACCAGATGACCAGAGCGGTGTGGACATAGGCACTGGTCAGAATGTAAGTATGTCCTTCCAAGCCTGTGTGCTCTCACAATGTCCATGTAGTGAAGACTTACAGATGACCACCCTTCCTGGTACCCTTACATCACTCTCAGAGCAGCTGAGGTCTAGAAATACCACACAAACTTACCTGATGAATTCCACGGAATAGTACTGAATAGGGGAGTGTCCTTCACTCTGTCCAGGTTTCCAAGATAGGGCCACCTCTGAATCAGAAACCACAAGGGCACGTGGCTGCTGGGGTGCCGCTGGAGGCCGGCAGGAATCTAGGCAGGACAACAAACACGAGGCTGATTGTATCAGCTCTAGAGAGGTTGGATACATTTTTTAAAAATGTGCTTCCCAGGACCAAAACATCTCTGGTCACAACAACCTCAAAATCCAAAACAAACACACACGGACAAATCACAACTGTGCTCAGCACATAAGGTCTGAGTCATGAGAGCTGGTCTTCCTTTCTCTTCCCAGCACATCTGGATAGAAAGCTGACCATATTAGGTTCTGCTGACCCGAGGACATGCGTGGTATGTACTTCCACCTCCTGATGGACTGTCATCTCTGTTTGCATGTTGGAGTTGATATTTATCTTCAGGAAAACTCAATGCTTACCATTACTGCAAATTACTTTCCAATTCATGTGTGTGGTGTGTGTGTGTGTTTGTGTTTCCTCTGCTGATAAGAAGATACAAAGCAATGGAAGGGCATTTGGGAAATACCTTCCTCTTGTGTAAAGGTGATCCTCCCATCCAGGTCATGGTGGGTTCCAGCTTTTCATACCTCTCATGTATTGCCTGGGTCCAGAAGAGTTTTCCCACCTTCCTATATAAGCACTTCTGTAACTCTGGCTGGGGAAGCATTGGTGCCACCTGCTACCATTTCCTTCTCCCTACCAAGAACACCTTCTGAGCAGTGACTGCAATCAACCTGCTTTTGTACCCCAGCATCCACCTTAGTGCCACCTGAGTGACCATTGTTTGGATTCTCTTTGCCTATACATAAATCTCTCTCCCTCCCCTTCCTCTCCTCCGTATGTCCTATCAGCCCATCAGTTCTCCATTTAGCCATCGTCTTTTCAGGGATCCCTCCCCTCATCCCTGTGTTGTTCTCACAGACTGTGAAGACACACTCATTAGACAGCATCTTGACTCACCCCACTGAGTTCTAAGAGGTCTGTGCTGGTGTTGGGGGCACTACTGAATTCCCAGAGCCCATCAGAGTGTCTGGCCCACAGAGGATCCCCATTGGATTTGCTGAATGAAGGCATGAATGACTAGCAGCCCACCACTTTCCTGTTATGAATGAATTTGAACCTGCTTTACCTTGGGACAACGTGGTAACATGGTGAGGGGGGCTGAGCCGCCCTTTGCCAGTCTGGCTGTAAGCTGCTACACTCACTCGATATTCAGTTCCTGGTTTCAAATCTCCAATCACTTCTTCCTGTCAATAATCAAACAAGAAAGGTGCCAAAGGTCAGAATTCCTTTTGGGCAAACCCTATAGTTTCCATAAGGTTTACATCTTGAGGTTCCTGTGAAAATGCTTAGAACTTTGCTGTGTCTAGAATTGGCCTAGTTTTAAAATTTGCTAAAAGGAAAACACCATAACACTCCCAAGACTGAAGGGTTATCTTTATGGAATCAATACACTGTACTACTACCAGGGCTCATTGACATCATCAAATGCTGCTGTCAATATTCGAACTCTTTGATCAGACTAGAGGCTGCTGAATGATCTTTCCCAGGGTTGGATTCCCCCAGTTCTTTCTTTTTAGATTGCAGATGCTTAGGGCTTGGTCTCATAGCAGGTGATGCTGCTGCTGTGTGTCCAGGGACCCTCCATTGAGAAACATTAGGATTAAGGATGGATGGATGTGTGAACTTATCCTGTGTCCCCAAGCCTACAGGGCTAAAGAGTAGGTGCGAGCCTGGGCCTCCTCAGTAAGAAGCAGCAGCACACTATAGTGGAAAAAGAGCCAGCCTGGAGTCAACCAACCTGCCCTTGAACCCTGATTCACCCACTTATTACTAGCTGTGGCCTTGATATCAAATCCTATGAGCTTCAGCTTCTTCCTCAGTAAAACAGATATGACATACAACTAACTATCTTACATGGTCATCATGAAACAATGTATGTCCAGGAGCTGGTAAGGAGAATGTACTCAAGAAACAGCTAACAATGACTGTTGTCTTAGGTGTGTGGGGACCAGGCTCCTCTCTGTTCACCTGGGTTGCTCATCTACTCTGATACTCAAGCCTTCTCCTTGATATCTTCCCTGACCATCCAGGCCTGGAGATCCCACCATATTAAATGCTCTGCCACTAATTTATATAATATATAATGTGTACACACACACACACACACACACACACACACACACACACATATATATAAAATATATAATGTGTATATATATATATATATATATATAGAGAGAGAGAGAGAGAGAGAGAGAGAGAGAGAGAGAGAGAGGAGAGACAGCATTCCTAACTCCCAATTCCAAAATCCAAGACTTTTTGAGCACTGTTTTGATACCATGAGAAAAATTCTACTCCTGACTTTAGATGTCAGGTCACAGTAAAAACACATGTGCACTAAAAGTTTGCATACAATTACCTTCAGGCTATGATCAGAAAGTGCATATGAACATAAGTAAAGTTCATGTTTAGACTTGGGTCCCATTCCCTAGATATCTCACTATGTATATGAAAACATTACAAAAGAAAAGAAAGAAAAAAGAAGGAAGGAAGGGAGGGAGGGAGGGAGGGAGGGAGGAAGGAAGGAAACTGGAAACACTTCTGGTCCCAAGCACTTTAGATAAGAGACCTGTATGACACATTGTTACTGTTTCTCCTATGAGGTTGTATGCCACTTGAGAGCAGGCATAACGTATTTCTTCAAAATGTCTTCTGCAGGTAATGAAACATTCATTGTTGCAAAAGAAAATTAAGAAGATTCATAAAAAGTGTTTTGAAAGCATTGAATGGACAATTGTCAAAATTTAATACAGTAGTTATTAAACCCTGACTATACGTTAGAATCATTAGAAGATCTGAAAATGTAAGTAAATAGAGATTTGAAAACACAAATAAAAACTGATGCCTGGGCTCCGCTACATTCTGCTTAAATCAAAATCTCTGGGGACAAGGTCCAGGCATCTGCTTACAACTCTCCAGGTGAGTCTAATGGGCATCCAGGTTTGTGAACCACTGGTCTAGGAGGTAGCTCACCTCCTGAGCTCTGGACCTATCTGCTTCCTCCCCTCTATTTGTCAAGTATCTCCAACATCTCCTGCATCTACTTGATTTGTCTGTATTTGCTCAAATCACTCCCATCTCAAAAAGAATCATCCCTTCCTATCACACATGCACCCCTAGTTTCTCCCCTCAGAGACATCTTTTGGAAGGTGTCTCCACTTCCTTACCTCTTGGTCACTCCTCCACTTACTCCCATCTGGCCTCTCTCCTCCACAAACCTATTGAGATGTTCCTACCAAAGCCCCCACAACAACTCTGTAACAAATCCAATGCAACATCATCTTTTGACTTTCTGCTGCTTTCCATACTGTTGCCTGCTCTAGCTTCTGAAATCTCTGGCCTTCCTTGTAAACCATGGTTCCGCTCCTCCTTGGTCTCCTACTTCTTTTGTTGCTGCTTCCTAGTATCTTGTACCTTCTTTCCCCTGTCTCTACTGTCCTTTGGAGAGCTGGTCTTTCCCAGGAGCTCATCCCTTGCCATCTTCTCTTCCCCTCTGTAGACTTGTGGGCAAACTCTTCTCCTACACCCTGAGTTTCTGGTACCACTTTTGTGGTGGCACCTCTAACATCTACACCTCCTGCTCTGCCTCTTGACCTCCAGGCAAGCATTTGTGATTGCCTCTTGACCAACTCTACTGGACGACTACCAAGCAACTCAAGTTCCACACAACCAAAGCTCACCCCCTCATTCCTCCCCCTACTAGCAAAAGTATCACAAAACATTGCTTCATGTGTGGTGTTCTATGTCACTTTACCCAAGCGAGAAATTCGTGATACTGCCTTCTCTTTGTTCATTCATCCTTCCAAACCACCATCCATCCAATCAGTTGCCAATTCAGTTGCTGCCACTTTTTTTTTGTATCATTTGAATCTGTTTATGTCATTTCATTCTTAAAAGTCCTTCAAGTCCAAATCCTCAACATTAAGACAAAGCCCTGTGGCTCCTTGCCACCGAAGTGCCTGTACTCCAGTTTAGACTCCACACTCTGCTAAAGTTACATTTATAAATCTTAAATCCCATCATAACTCTTTCTACTTTAAAACACCCCTAGAATAGTGCTATTTGTGTCCCCCTGTGTATCCTTCTAACATCCTTCCTTGCCACCTCCTTTTCTTGTATTCTACATTCTAGTCATACTTAAGAACTTGGCAGGACTCAAATTTATGCCATTCAATCGCTTGCCTCTGGGCCTTTGAACCTGCTGCTCCCTCTACATGAAGTGTCCTTCTGCCTACTCTTGCCTGGCTCACCCTGCTCATCCTTCATGACTCAATTCAGCTGAGACATTACCTCATATCTCTAACCCCAGCCCCAGTCTGGTTAGGTGCCCCTCCTCTGTGCCTCCCGGGTGTCCTTGGTGGACTTCAATCTTCACACCACTCACCTTACATTGTAACTGTCTGTTAATTTGTCACCTTCTCCCCACCCACTCGAGGGTAGAAAGCCAGTTCTTATTCCTCTGGCATCCCAGAGCTTAGCATAGTATTATCAGACCCATAGCAAATGCTCATGCAATGCTTTTTGATGAATGAATAAGTGAACTGAAGTGAAATAAAAGAAAGAAACTAAGAGCCAAAATGTCCCATATAAACAGATTACCTCATCCAGAAACCAGCTTCAAGCACTGACCCATCTTGTCAAGAGCATCAGTATCGGCTGTGGTTTGAATGTGACCCCACAGTGCATATGCTGGAAGCTCCGTCCTCATGCATCAGTGTTGAGAGACGGTCTAACAGAAGGTGATTCGGTCTTGAGGACAGAGTCCTTGCAAATGGATGGCTGTGCAGAGTGGGCTAGTTATGGAGGGAGAGGATTAGCTATTGAGAAAGTGGGCTTGTTGTAAAGGTGGCTTTGCCTCCTTTCTATCATTCTCTCTTGTCCTTCCATCTTCCACTGTATTGTGATGCAGCAAGAAGCCCTCACCAGATGCTGAGCAGGGGTTAGGGCCATGAACTTGGACTTCCCAGCCTTCGGTTTCATGAACCAATGAACTTCTTTTCTTTATAAATCACCCAGTCTGTGATATTCTGTTATAGCAGCATAAAGCAGACTAAGATAATACCCTTGCCCTTGGCCGAGGAGTAACTAACTCCAAAGACAGGAACGATTTCCTGTGGTCTACCTCTACCACAACTTTTAGACCATTCTCATTTTCCATTTTCACTTCAATGCCCTCATAGAGGCCCCATGACTCCCTGAGTCATTTCTACAGCATCCTGGAGAGCAGCTGTCTCCAATCTGCATCTCTCTCCCTCCTGCTCATCTTCTCTCCATGGAGCTGCACAAGGGGTCTTTGCTGAACACAGAGTCTTGTTTTCATCGCTCCTCTCCTGCTCTGCTCCTGGCATCTGTGCATCCTGGCTCCATCTCTGCCCTTGGGATTGTGTCAAGTTGAATGGTCTGAAGGGAGCAGGTGAATCCAAGAACCTGTTCTTATTTTCTCCCAAATGACACTCCAGGTTCATCTCAAGCAGCAAAACACACTCTCAAACCAACTCCATGCTCTGGTGGGTTTTTGCTTTAGAATCCTCTCTTTTTTCAAACTATTCCTATTTGCTGATGACATATGTTAGAAGACCCAAAAAACACCACCAGAGAACTTCTAGAACTCATAGATGCTTTCCCGCAAAGCAGCAGGATATAAATTAACACCCATAACTCAATCATATTCCTATACATCCATGATGAATCAATTGAAAGAGAAATTAGAAGAACTGTCCCATTCGCAATGGCCTCAAAGAAAATAAAACATTTGGGAATCAATCTAATAAAAGAGGTGAAAGACACTGAAAACCTCAGAATACTAAAGAAAGAAATTGAAGAAGACGTTAGCAGATAGGAAGGTATCCCATGTTTTTGGATAGGCAGAATTAATATTGTCAAAATAGCCATAGTACCAAAAGCACTATACAGATTTAATGCAATTCCCAATAAAATTCCAATTATATTCTTTATAGAAATAGAAAAAGCAGTCATGAAATTCATTTGGAAAAACAAGAGGTCTAGAATAGCCAAAGCAACCCTTAGTGAGAAAAGTGAAGCAGGAGGCATCACAATATCAGACATTAAATTATACTACAGAACTATAGTAACAAAAACAGCATGGTACTGCCACTAAAGCAGACATGAAGACCAATGGTATAGAATAGAAGACACAGAGACAAATGCACATAAATGCAGTTAT